TTCCTTCCTTCCTTCCTTCCTTCCTTCCTTCCTTCCTTCCTTCCTTCCTTCCTTCCTTTTTTGCTGATATATCTCGCCTTAATAATATTATCGTCAAGTGCGACCCTCCAAGTTTGATTTCTCGTTCACCTTCGACTAGTATTGCAACAACCATCAAACACATAACTAAAAAACACAATATGTTTATGGAAGGGATTTTAAAGGATGATAATCTTCAATTCAGTTGAAAATATATCCCGCAGGATACTATTATTAAATTAAATTATTTGATTGAAGGTTGTTGAAATGCTGGTTGGTTCAAAGATAATGGTATTTATCATATACTATATTAATAAGAACATATATTTACATGGGTCTAGTAAACCTAGCTCAAAAAAGGAATGTGTCAGTTTTCATTATCTATTTTTATTTTCTGTTCTTAAAACTTTTTTTTTCACTTGTACCTTTGATAAGGCAGACAACGCCAGCTCTGTAGTCACTTGAACAATCACTTTCACCCCAGTGTCGAATTTTACACTTGTCAATAGACGTCTCGGTTCCACTGCAGCTAATCTGTGTTTTCCATGCATCACCACTAGTCGTACCCTGGTATCCTCGAACAGCAAAAGCAGCACCATCGGTGTAATTAAACATTCTACACACGACATGAGCATCTTGTAAAGACCAGTAATTATCACATAACGGTTTCCATATTCCATAATAACGTATTTCTATTTGAGCGGCATGTGGAAGACTGCTATTAGCCATTCGTACGTCTATATTAGGAGTGCCTACGAAATGACATAAGAAAAATAACGTAAATTGCTAAGATACACTTCAAGTGTTTTAAATTAATTATCAGGAGGGGATTTGGAACCCGTGCATATGGACCCGGGATAGGTCGCGACGTACTTAAGAACAGAGCCATGCCTGCATAGGAGCAGTCAGGGGTATTGGCTTTCGAAGCGGCTGTAAAAAACAATTGTTTAAAACAAGTGAACGAGAGATATAGAAAAATGGTTAACGTTACGTCAGTTTTGCGTTTGTGGAACCCTGCAATGTTTTAACCAATAAATAAATTGAAACAAACGATAAGTTAGTTACATATGTATATAAATGATTTCCCAAACTTTTTCAACAGTAAGCTTTTAGATTATAATCCTATTTTTAATGGCCTGTTTTCCAGTGGTGCATATCAAGTTACATAAAGAAGTCTAAAAGTCCGTAGACTGAAAAAAGAAAGAAAAATTGATATTCTTTTACATGGTTCCGTTTGTTTAAATAAGACTTAGAATTATAATCTATTTAAAGTTGTTGAGCAATTTATACTAAATTGCAAGCGTTTTTGTTTTACCCTAAGCATTCCCTTTTGTTTCCCTTATTCTTCATTCCTATTGTTTTATAATTATTCATAGAGCTGTATTTCATTGCTAATTATTTTTACTATATATTTTGTACCTTATTTTTCCGTTTTAAAGTCTCTACATTTTTTATTGTGTAAAAGCTGTACAGACCCCCTAGATGAGCGCTCTCGCTATTGGGGTTAGATTGTAATTGAAAAAAAAGTCTAAAAGTAACTCTCTTTTTCTCTCTAGCCCTATTCTATTGCCGCCTTATTCTCTTAATCTCAGTCTCCCAATTTTTGTTTGGGGGGGGGGGGGGTGGGGACATTTCAGGGGCTAATATCTTACTCACTGTTGGTGCACACAACACCAAAATCATTGCTGTGCTGGCAGTTGTTGTTTCCTCATCCACTATGACGGCATCTGTCAATAGACGTCTCGGTACCCTCACACGATAGACCACCAAGCCAAATCTGTCCAACTCCTGGTCCAAAATTCTTGGTTATATTTGCCCTTGCAAAACCAAGCATGCTACATACCACGTGAGCGTTGTCTATAGACCAAGATCCTCCGCAGATAGTACCCCATACTCCACGATACTGCACTTCAACACGACCCTCAAATGATGAGTTTTTACCATTAAGACGTACTGTAACGGACGCAATACCTTTTGGTCATATGCAAAAAATTAAAAGTTTTAAGAAATCATTTTCAAAATTTAGCTCATTTATAACTAATATACTGGCTGAGAGAAAAAAAATTTAAACAACCCGTGTAAGCTTGATTCGATCAATGTTTGAATAGTAAGCTAGTACTGTAGTATCATACATAACCACATTTGTCAGCTTCAAGGCAAATGTTAGCCGCTATAACAAAAATAAACAATGACAAGACGCCTTATTGCTGTTCACTGGGAAGCCTGTATCACGCGCTCCATAGACCTAGTACAGCTAAAGAAGATTGCAATGTTCGCCAAAAGACAATGTAATGTTTCACAGAAAAGAATGACTTTGTCTAATTAGTTTAACTTTCGAATATCAGAAAGATATTTCAGTGAGTGGTCCTTAATGTATTCGAGATTATTTCAGCAAAGTTACAGCTCGAATGAAAGAGTTTTAATTTCGACCATTCAATACAGCTATTGCTAGACGAAGAGACTGCAACCGGATGTTTTTCAGACATTGATTTCGGACATTAGTCTTTAAGAAAAGTACAATAATTATATGAGAACATTTAGGTATATTGAATACATTTAGCGTAAACTAGTTAGGGCTGCGTCTTTCCAAGCTGGATTTTAGCGCTTAATACTTAAAATAATTATTTTTCTTGCAATTGCACGATTAATGTAAGGAGGATTACTAAAAGTAAGCACCAAACTCCTTTGTTCTCACGGAAAACGAATTCAGAAGATTTTCTTTCAAGATAAGTCTTATTTAAGACACCAAAAATAGAAGGAAAAAAAAGACTTACCA